GGGGGGGGGGGGGGGGGGGGGTCTGTATGACGCCACAAACATGGAGGGGCCAGAACACTGCAGCTGCAGTCGCAGGGTTGGGGCTTCGCCTGGCTTCCCTGTGACCTGCAGCCACGAGCTTTTCACCTGCTTGAGTCGGTCCATTTTCAGTCTGCTGGGGGAAGGGGGTGCCTGCCTCTTATTAACAGACCTACAGAAGGACAACAACCTAGCGTGGCTAAGGAAAGCCCACGTAGCATGCATGGCTCTCTGCTGCCACCTACTGATGACACAGTCTTCACAGATGCTGCGCCCGAACATGGGCACTGAGGGGAAGAGGCGGAGGGATTCTTTGATGACACATTCCAGGTAACGCAGCTTCTTCATGTCATCCATGTTGACAGGCCGGTCCGAGGAACCTAGTGGGGAAAAACAGAGAGCCGTGAATGGGGGGGGGGGGTGTTACTTAAACAGGAAAGCTAGATGGACATATCTACAGAGAGCAGAGGGTACCAAACACTTCCTGCAGCTCCTGCTGAACCTTTCTCTGCACTTCAGGGTGAGAACCCAGGAGGTGAATGGCCCAGTTCATTGCGGCGGCTGTAGTGTCATGGCCCTGCCACAAGAGGGAGACAAAGACAACACTGATTGATAGACATTAAATCAGGGGTGGCCAATCTTAACCGCAAAGGGCCGCTGTGTATGCGGATTTTCACTGCAACTCGCTAATTAGATTACTAATTAGAGGACTGATTGGCTGAAGAGTCCTCACACCTGGGTTTGGACAGCTGACCTACAGGTTATCCCAAAAACCTGCAGACACACCGGCCCTTTGCTTATTTTTTAACACAGAAATCATGCAAAATACAATTATCACATTTTCACATGGGCCTAAACAGTTTTTTGTTATTATTTGTTTTTATGCATGAATAAGAGATCACTCATCAACCAGTTTGCCGAAATTAAATTGTATAACCATTATATAATTTGATTTGCCAACTTGTAACTGATATTTTGTATTCATAACAAACATTACTTTGTAAGTCTGCTCATAGGGACTAAAGCCAAAAGATTTTCTGTGATTTTTTTTTGTTGATTCTACATCAAACTACTTGGAAGATCAAAATCTGTTGGCAGCAGGGTCATTCCAGGGAAACATCCAATGGCTGCTCCTCCTTCAGGGTTACTGTGGAGAGCAGCATCACAGTTCCCATGGCAACAGTCCCTGTCACTACAAGCCCAAAGCATGAATCCCAGCCCATCAATGCCACAGTGGCTACTGTCTTGCCATGTCTGACATGTGCTTCCTACCCTTCAGTCAGCCTCCAATCTGACACGGTCCCCTAATAATTAATGACTGTCCTACATTCAGATACACAGGCATGGAAAATAAACAGTATATGGGTTAGATATCAGCTCAGCTAATGGCCTTGGACTGCAACCCTGGACCAAAACAGCATTCGTTCCTCATGGAAAATGTTTGCATGTGTAAAGTCAGAACTGCAGTCCAAGCAAATTTTCAGAGCTATAAATGTTACATATTAATAGGAGCACCCTTATCGTTAATCTCCAAGCACAGCGTGTCCACAGCCAACTGAAATCTACACCCAAAGATAATATCCAGCTTTTCTAAAACTGGAACAGATGCTATTTTTTTGCTGGCTGATGTGAGCAGTGCTTCCTCGGTGAACACTGGACATTAAGAATCCAAATTTGTCCACGTGTGCCGAGGACATCCACAGCAGGCAGCTCTCCTGATCACAGGACCTCCTGGTACAGAGGGACGCCGAGCTGGAACAGGACTGGGGCTTCCGGTCCTCCAAAGGGCCACGTGTACCTCGAACATGAAGGTGTCCACCTCTTCCTGGATGTCTTTAGGGGTCAGCTTGTTGCCATGCTCATCTGTGGTCTTCAGCAGCATGTCCAGGAAAGCCCGTCTCTTCCTACTACCTTCGTCGGATTCGCTGTCTGACTCATTGTTGGAGATGTATTCCTCTCTCTCTCGGATCACCTGTGGAATGAAAAGATGGGGGCCTTTTGAAGTGGGGGGGTATGGGCATGATATAGTCAGCCACAGGAGGGTGACCAAACTTCTCACCAAATGAGGACACCCCCACCACTAACCCTAAGTCTGTATCTCGCAATCATCTTTCTTGGATTCCCCAACCATCTTCACCGTTATCTTACTCACACTCTCCGTGAAGGAGTGCAGGACCTTCAGGCTCCGGTCATGCTCCTTCCCATCCCCGAGGAGGCGGTACACGAAATTTGGCCAGTACCAGGGCATCCTCACCCTGCGGATAATGATGTCGCTCATCCTACAGGAGAGGCATATGGGTTATCACCTCTAGGCTGTCAGAGAAGGATTCATGAGGCTGTGCTCACAGTAAACACTCAACGGCAATGACCTTCACACACACAGCTCCAGGAAAAGCAAACTAAGATTTAGCTCATATCAACAAACACACAGAGAAAGGAAGAGGACTCACTTGTACACACTGCGGACATACTCAGAGTCTTGGTTACTTTGAGCATAGATTTTCTTTCCCATTGCAGTTTCTGAAAAAAAATTAAATAAAATCATCGATCTAGATGAAAGTAGCCTTTGCAGTAACAATGATCCATCCATCCATCCATCCATCCATCATCTGCCGCTTGTCCGGGGTTCGGGTCGCGGGGGCAGCAGCTTCAGGAGAGGCACCCAGACCTCCCTCTACCAGCTCCTCGGGGGGGACACCGAGGCGTTCCCAGGCCAGCCGAGAGATATAATCCCTCCAGCGAGTCCTGGGCCTGCCCCGGGGCCTCCTCCCTGTAGGACATGCACGGAAAACCTCTCCGGGTA